TTTTTTTTGGTTGCAGCCATCATTGCTGTTTGGTGGGCCGGGCTGGATTTGAACCTGCCACCTTAGGTGTATGTGGCTGACACCTTAGCCACTTGAGCCACAGGCGCCAAGCCTTGTCTACAGTTTCTATTGCTGTCACCCTAGTTTCTAGCCTAAAAACTATTTGGACTGTCATAATAAAATACTACACACTAGGTGGATTAAACAATAAACATTTTTCACAGTTCTGGAGAATCAAAGTTCACAGTCGAGGTACCATATTATCTGGTGTTTGAAAGGTTTTTTCCCTGGCTTGTAGATGATCACTTTCTTGCTGTATCTTCACATGGCCTTTTCACTCTGCAGACACAGAAAGAGAGATAGAGATCTGGTATCTCTTCCTATAACAGTAGTTCAGTTGGATTATGACCCTATCCTTATGACCTCATTAACACTGATTACTTCCTTAAAAGCCCTTGTCTCCAAATGTGGCCACATGTAGGCTACAGCTTCAATATATGAAATCACACAGTATATAGTTCAATCTGTAACACCTAGACTATGGGATTAACCTTGTAATTGTAGTCACCCACAACCCTAGTCTTTCTTCCTACTAATCCCTCCTGTTTACCCTTACTTTACCAGCTGGCCCTTCTCAATTATTTCTGATGATTTTCTATATCTTTAAACTTTAGAACATCTCAGGTCTCAGTCCTCAGCCATGTTTTCTCTTTTTATTTACTCTCAGTGAGCTCTCCTTGTTCTTATAACCTCAAATATCATCTCTTTGTTGGAATTTTTTCAAAATGATACATTTAACTTAAACCTCTCCCCTGAGCTCCAGACTGGTATATGCCTTGTTTTACTTTTTTCTTTTTCTTTTTTTTTTTTCATTTTTCCAAAATGTCTTTCCTTACATCTAAAACTGGAGTCTTGATTTTTGTAGCACCCTGCTCAGATTTACTTCTCTTTCAGTGTTCTGACTTAGCAAAATATCTACTATTCACCTGGTTTATCAGGCCATAAAACCAAGGAGTCAATCTTCAGTAATATTCGCTATGCATAACACTTGACATCTAATCTGTCAGCAAGTCCCATCAGTTTAACCTTTAAAGTTACAAAATAATTCTTGTAGCTCCTCTCAAAAGAAATATTCCAAATCTGATCACTTTTCATCACCTTTACTGGTATATCCCTCATCTTGTCTTACCTAGGCTACTGAAGTAGACTCCCAACTAGTGTCTACCTCTAATCTTGCTCCCTCTATAATCTGTTTTCCTTTGTTTGTTATGACATTCTACCATTGGATATAATCTGTAAATCTGTAATATAATCTATATAGATACCATAGTGCTTTTTCGAAAATGTAAATCAAATCTCCTTTTTCTCCAGCTTAAAATACTTAATGTTAATTATTATTGCTTAATAATTATTTGCTTATTATTAGTACTGAATAATTAAAATAAAACACAGTTACAAACTCCAATTTTATACATTTTTGAAGAAGCTCTGGATGACTCCAGAGAATTTCTTCTGGAGGGACCCGCTGGAAACAATCTTGGCTGAGACTACATAATTCTCTTCCAGAAATGTTGGGACATGTTTTCCAAATTGTTTGACTAGACTTTCATTTGGGGGCCATAGTTATTTTATAAAGTAATTATATAATTATGTTTATTAAAAATATGTTGCCTGCTAAAAGTATCACCAGGTGTAAAATAAAAGTAGACAAATTATTATGCAAAATCATAACACAATAAAAAAAAAACTTTCCTTTAGCAGTTATTTCTTACCAGTACTATTTTTTCTATTCCACTCTAGCTAAGCTAGCTTTCTTCTATTTCTTCTGCTGGAATATTTTTTTCCACATTGCACTTCGTTCAATTCTTTTTTCAATTCCAAACTCTGCAGAGAAGTCTTTCCTATCCAAAATAATTATTTTTCTACTCACAAACTCAACTTTTTTTTACCTTCTTTTCTTTTTTCTTTATATCATGTTTCACCAAGTGAAATTTTATTTATTTAATCACTTCATCATATCTCAATCTGTGCCCTCCATATTACAGACTCCTAGCAATGTCTGGCTCACAGTAGGTAATTAGTTAATGTGTATTAAATGAATGAGTGAAACTATTCAGATTCACATTCCTATATAATTATTCCTAAAATTCAGCCCTTAAAATTTCTGTTTGACTACCTCATCACTGGTTATTCTACCCCTGTAATCCACCCTGTCAATGAAAAGCAGCCAAGCAAAATTAATATGTTAGTACCTTCCATTTCAAACAAATTTAAGTTATTATTCCAGCACACTCTTTGATTGTATCACATATGTTTTTGGGAACTATAAACTGTTTTTATGTTAACTAAATAAACATCAATATCAAGGGTTATCTACCCAGGGCGACAGCTTGAGTCTCTGTCTCAAAAAAAAAAAAAAAAAAAAAAAGAAAGAAAGAAATATCAAGAGTTAACTTTTTAAAATCATTCATTTTGTTTTAGATCACTCTCTTAATGGACCTCTTACAAATGGCGATGGCAGAGAGCCCCGGACAGGAATCAAGAGAAGACTCCTTAGTGCATCAGAAGAAGATGAAAGCATGGGAGGAGAAAAGAAAGAGAAAAAAGAAACAAAAGAGAAATCCCATTTATCCTCCTCAGAGAGTGGAGAGTTAGGATCAAGTTTAAGTTCTGAAAGTACCTGTGGCTCTGATTCTGACTCTGAATCAACTTCCAGAACAGATCAAGATTATGTAGATGGAGACCATGACTATAGCAAATTTATACAAACCAGGCCTAAAAGAAAACTCAGAAAGCAATATGCCAATGGAAAAAGCAACTGGAAGACAAGAGGCACGGGAGGAAGAGGCAGATGGGGAAGGTGGGGTAGATGGAGTAGAGGAGGCAGAGGAAGAGGAGGTAGGGGTCGTGGGGGTCGAGGAAGAGGTGGAGGTGGTACCAGGGGGAGAGGGAGAGGGAGAGGTGGTAGAGGTGCTTCTAGAGGAGCCACCAGAGCCAAACGAGCACGCATTGTAGAAGACGAATTTGATACCATGTTTTCTGGACGTTTCAGTAGACTGCCTCGAATTAAGACAAGAAATCAAGGCAGGAGGACTGTTTTATATAATGATGATTCTGACAATGACAATTTTGTGTCCACTGAGGATCCTCTGAATCTTGGTACATCCAGATCAGGCAGAGTGCGTAAAATGACAGAAAAAGCCAGGGTTAGCCATCTCATGGGATGGAATTATTAACAGTTAATAAATTTAGAATAACTTAAAAAATTCAATGGCCTTCTACTGCAGGGAATTTACCAGGAAATCTACAAAGCAAGTTGTGTGGGGACTTCTGCTTCCTTTCACATTGGTGCTTTTCCATTTACGCCAGTATACATTTGTTTCAAGACTTTTGATCTCCCCACTTCATTTGTTCTAACAAGCCTTACTCATTAGGCCTTAAATTAAAAGAAATTCTGCCCCCACACACACATGAACACACAAACATGCACACACACTACAGATTTACTACATTAAAGGAGCATTCAGCTTCTTAAGACTAGCATGACATTTTTATCTCAATAGGATATCCCTCTTTTGCTTTTGTATCACAGACTTTTAGCACCTTCTTACAGAATTTTATATAGTTTGTTTTTGCCATTTTGATTCCTACACCCAGTAATAATAACTTTTGCACAATACACCAATCCTAAAGGCAGCTATTAAATGTTTACAGTTTCTATATTGTAAGAACGATCTGGATTATTTTACTCTTCCCAGGCCAAACTTTCATGAATTGTACTGAACTGAAGTATATATTTATACTACAGTTTTTTGGGGGGTGGGGGGGCCTTGATATTTTTTTCATTGATTTGCTTAATTCACATTAAAAGTAAGAAAGGGTTGGTGCCTTGTAAATACGTAGCAAATCTCTGTGGTGTGTCCTGATGTGTGCATTAACTTTATTAAAAAGGAATACTTGAGGTATCAATCTAGACAAGGTGCCAAATGCAAAAGTTTCTTGCATCCATTTTCTTTTTCCTATTATATTTTATTGCATTAATAGAACTTGTGTAGCTTAAAGAATAACTTAAACATTTGAAAAATCCTCATCCACAAAGAATGACTTTGAACAGTAGCTCAGCTACCTCTTAACTACAACTACTGGAAACATTAAAGAAAATAAATGATGTTATTCATTACTGATAAGAAATAGAGCAAGCTTAGTAGGAGTGAATACTCATAAGTTATAAACTGAGAAGTTAATAATTATTGGCTCTCAAATTATAGTTGTAATTAACAAATTTTCATAAATATAGTACGCTCTACCTTAGGCTTTCTTAGAACATATTTGTGTAATTAGACTTGGGCTACTGCTTGTATTTCTGCTACCACTTACTATTTAACAGCTATGAGTTACTGGTTTTATTTGAATCTTGAAACTTAAAACATCTAGTTTAAGTTGGATTGTTTTGGCTAGATAGTATATTGAGTCATCTTTAATAGGTTCTTCTCATATCATTCCAAAGGGTTCTTCTGTTTTAGTCTTTCAGAAAAGAACCTTATTGCACTGCACACTGATATTTTGAATCATTATTTTATAGATGGAAATAATCTTTAACAACTCTGAATGGTCTTGTTTACAGTAGAGTGCACATGGTTCCGTAAGTGAGCTTGAGTTCCAAGATCAATTTTACTCCTCATATTTGAGATAGCAGATTTGCTAATTTGTTAGATACTTAGATTTTTGTGAGAGGGATAATATTGGTCTCTGTTTTATAACAGCAAATTTGTTGCACTTAAATCAGACTTGTGGGATGAAACAGACATCTTAATATATACCTAGTTATCCCAGGATATTTCTTAATGTGTTTTTTCATGCTTCCAATCATTTCATGCATCCGAAAATCCTTAGCTACAGAGGAAGGAGTACACACATAACTTTGCTTTTTTGGTAGGGTCAGGGGTGGGGGTTATTCTTGGACTAACATCTTTAAGCAGTTTTGCTTGCAGTAGAAATGATGTTCAGGCTTTAAGAAAGTATTGTTGAGAATTGTTAATGGCACTAACTTCTGTTACTGGACAATAGACCAAGCTGATATTTTTTGTTATAGTCTTTTTTTTCCACTAAACCAAAACTACTGGTTGTAACTCACCTGCCACTTTTAACCATAGTATAGATTCAGAATGTTTCTAGTTGAAATTATATTTGTTTTTTACCAAAATGTACTATTTTAGTTATTCATCTCTTGGGCATTTAGACTAAAACTGTGCCTGTGTTTTCCCGAAACCAATAACACTTTGGCCTACCCTAATCAAAGTAATGTAGTTACTTAAATTCCTGGATATACCCAAATGTGGATCACGTGTGTCATTTTAGTGTGAATTTTTTTGTTGACATTCTTCTATAAAGAGCTGACCTCCTAAAATGTAGAAGAATTGCCATTTGTGTGATTTTAGCTTTCTGGAGTTTTATTTATAATTTATTTTGAAAAATAAGAATGCCACATTTATTCCCCAAATGTCAAGATTTTCTAGGTTTAGGTGATTAGAATAAGAAGACTGAAGACATTTTAAAGCATATTTTATATGTAGTGAAATACTGTGAAAATACTAGTGAACAGCATTTTGCTGTAATGTTGATTTAGTCACCAGGGTATGTTAGATGAGCATAGTTATCATTTATTACAAAACAAACAGATAATGTTCTGTTTGCATGCAAATTATTTTAATAAGTATGAAAATAAAAGTTTGGAAGGTAATATTTTACAATACCTGGATTTAATTTCCCAATTCATACATTGCTTTTTTTCTGTCATATCACCTCTTGTGAACGTGTAATTTGTATCACATTGAATATTTAACCATTTTAATTGTTCAAAGCCCTTTAAACCTAAATAATATCTGGGTTTAGCCAGTGCAAGGCAAGTGGAAATAAGTTAAAATTTTTGAAGAAAAGTCTAAATCTTAAATAAGTTGCTAAGAAAAACCACTGTTATATTTAGGTCCATGAGAGCATACACATGTATAAGCCTAATCCTATGCTATATATGAATAGTCAGTGAGCTGTGATATTTCTCATAGATGCTAATAATGTTTAGATTCCCAGCTTTAAGATCTTAGCCAGTGTACATATTGATGAAACCTGAATTATATGTTTTAGTCTATGGCTTGCTGTGTATATCTCTTCCAGCAATAGGATGCTCTCCCAAACATTCACTAGCCTATTAGCCTAATGAATGAATTTGCTTTTATATATACATATATGTATGTATGTATGTACACTTGTGTGTATGTAGTTTTCTTCCCCCTAACTTGACAGATTTTATCTCAAACATAAACAAAGAAGGATATTTTATATGGAGGAAACGGTCTATTAACTCTTTGCCTCTCTCTGGCCCTTAATCTGTATATGTACTACATTATCGTCCATTTCATTATGCCTTCTAGATAACCAGTCCAATTATTTTCATGTACCTGTGTTCCTCTTTTCTTTTAATATGTCCTTCTTTTTTTTTTTTTTTTCTGTTTCTCTCACCAGAGATCAGGATTGTGCTACAATTCTTCTCTACAGCACTTTGTTTCACCCAGAGTCAAAGAAAATGAGTAAAATACATAAATTTCATTCTATAGAACTGTGTGTTTAGATGTCTAACTCACTCATACGTTAATGCTTTGAGGTACATTTGAGTAATTTTTCTTTTTGTTATTTTAATACCATAGATTGTCATCAGACAATAACAGAGTGAAAGAGAAAGATGTGAATGCAACTTCTCTGTTCTTTATAAAACTTTTTTGAGCACTTTTCAAAGTTTGTATGTTTCTGGTAATGATAAACACCTTATTACTCAGTTTATATATTTTAGGTATCATTTTATACACATTTACCAACTGGTCCTTATCTTCACAGTCAGAATTTTCATATCCATGAAGAGAAGACTTGCATCAAGTATAATTTTCAGTATACTTTGAGTTTCACCCTTTTAAACAATTACAACATTTTAAGTTCTGAAATGAATAATTTAATGTTCTTGGGGAAAAGATGGGACTTTTGACATTTAAATCCCCAACATTTTTGTAGTATATAAGGCTTTATGAAAATGTTATTGAAAATAGAATATTTGGAGGTCACTTTTAAGGCTTATTTTAAAAATTAGTGTGAAAATATTTCCATGCTTTTTTACTTTTCACTTCTTAGCAAATTTTCTTTTTCAAATTGTAATTACCAAATTTACCAAGTATTTGATTAAATTCCAATACAAAATTAAAATTTTTTATGGTGCTGTATTTTGCGGAATATGGATAATACTCAAGTTTCTTGATATTAATTTCTTATATAGTCTTATCCTTATTTTCTTTTTCATTTTCCCTGCTTACTTTTATCTTCACTTATCTTTCTGCAATGAAGAATATAATTTAGCACACTTCAACAAGACTGGGAATTTCTGATTCATTGAGAGGAGAAGTGTATAAAGGCCCTGGAGTTTAGGGTTAAGATGTATTCGTTTATATACATGTATGCCCATTTCTTATGTCTATCTTAAATTCTAGAATATGAGATTAGACATATAAAAGCGTGATAAATATTTTCTAAAAAAATAAAACTATTGAATACATTTTGAAACTGCCATTGGTAATTGGCTTTTAAGATAGCATACATAATTATTTAGAAATCCAGTTGGGAAATGTGTTTTTACATATGTCACCAGGTACACACTAGGCAGTACTACAAATGTTAATTCTTTAAACAATATTGTGGTGATGGCAATCAGTAATTTATTTTTTTGTCCTGTAACTTATCATCCTTGTCTTCTGTAATCCCTTATACAGTATTAACAAAACTGTACCTTATGTTTGTTCTTAGTATTCATAATTTTTAAGATGGAAAATCATTAATAGTTGATGTGATGTTGTACTGGGCAAAATGTCCATTAAAGTAAAATTCAGTAAAGAAAGGTAAACTAAACTGGCTTGGTTTATAAGAGATGTTTTTGTTTGGCAGTTGTCAGTCATTATAAGCAATTATTTTCAAAGACAAAAAACTGGACTAAGTTGTTGCCATTCTTTATGGGATGTTTACAATAAAATTCCAAGTTGTTTGGAATCAGTTGCACTCTTGCTTTATGCCTTAACTTCTGTATAAGAGATAAATTAACAAGAAGAAATATATGAATTTACTTTTCCATTATCAGCTTTAGAGATTATATAACATGAAACTTTTAGATCTTTTATGTTTCTTTGTCATAGAATATATTTTATTGCTATTTTTTTAATTTGGGAAAGTAGGGTGCTTTGTTCAAAGAAAAGGTTTTTGGTCTTGCCTTACTTATTGCAGATAACCTTTGGCTCAGTTTCAGATAATAAATATATTAACATTTTAAATATGGGTGGCTTAGTGCATTGAATAGCAACCTGGAAAGTATTAGTCAAAATTTTGTTTTGTAGAACTTTTTAAAGTATATAATGTATTTATTTCTTATATATTTTGACAACTGTACTGTGAATGCCTGGCATTTTCAATATATACAGTCAGATTGCCTTCAAAGTTAAATATACTATAGTGCGTTATTTTTTTATTTTATTTATTTATTTATTTATTTTTTGCAATTTTTCACCAGGGCTGGGTTTGAACCCGCCACCTCTGGCATATGGGGCCAGCACCCTACTTCTTTGAGCCGCAGGATCCACCCGTATACTATAGGGCTTTAAATCAGTGTATGTGTATGAGGGGAAGGAATGAGGAGAGAGTTAACTTTTGATCCAGGATCTGAATGCCCTAACGGGAATTCACTCATCCTAGGTCTGAAGCTATACAGTTATCCAGAATGTTTCTCCCACTGGGAAAATCTCTACTAGATTCAATCAAAGTAAGCCAGCCAAATACTAGAGTATTTTTTATCCATATACTATGTATTTTGTGTATTTATCATCAAGAAATAAGATATTTAGAAAAACAACCTCCTTCATCTTCTGGCATATTTAATGGCTGTGAAAGCCTAATTTTTCACAATATTCAGAGATTGAGATAGAGATAAGTTATTTGGTATTTTTGTTTAGTTGCTTGATGGGTTAAAGATAGCCGACTCTAAAGATGTAAAACATTAACGCTAAAAATTCTTTGTTAGTAGACTTGGAGTTTTATTTTTACGTGACCCAGTAGTTTTGTTTTGTTTTGTTTTGTTTTCCAGTTTTTGGCCAGGGCTAAAACCCAGCCCCTCTGGCATATGGGGCCAGCGCCCTACTCCTTTGAGCCACAGGTGCCACCCCCCAGTAGATTATTTAAATAAAAAAAATAAAGATTGTTTACAATAAAGCCCTGCAGTCATATTCAGACAAAGATCCATTTTTTTTTTCTTAGTTGAGAAGGTGGAGAAAAAAAGTGTTCTCTATCCCATCTCTCAATTATATGCCCCTGGCAATTTAGAGCTACCTTTCAAAAATGCACAACAGAAGTTGAAAAGAGTTTATTGAGCCTGTGAATTGATTTCTTAATGGATTTTTTTGTGGGATATTTAAGCCCACATACTTATAGTTGTTTTCTCAAGTCTTTTATGTAAATACTTAAGGAATTTTCTATGCTATATAATACTGGTAGAACCAATATGACATTAAATAAAGTGAAATTTTCATGGTGTCAGTTTCTCCCCAAGGTTTTGGAAACATTTTCACTTTCTTTCCATTCTGTTACTTTAGAAAATTTCCCATTGCCAGCTGTGATAATTGCCTTACTAACGTTACTTCTCACCTATAGATGACAAATATGTAGCAGGAAATTTTAAGTTATCAACAAATTTATAGTTAATTTGATATTGAATACTTCAAAAATATTTCTGAAGCTAGTATTCTTTCAATAATTTGTAAATTTTGAATTGCGGCTTGGCCTGCTCAGCATCTTTATGGTTCTCTTCAATTTTATAAGTTTTGTAGTAAATATATGAAGAAATAAAAACATTTCAAAATGTTTAATTTAACTTACTAATACTAATTGATAAAGTTTATTGATTTTAGGGATGCTTTTGTGGTTGATTTGTCTCGTTGCAATTCTAATTAGTATTTGTATAGCAACGTGTTAATTTATACTAGCAATTTTCTGTAGTCCGTCATATAATTTAAGTCAGTAAAGCTGTCTTTAAGGTATTTTCACCCCTTTGCCTTTTAAAAAAATAAGATTTTCCATATGTTAAAGTGAGATTTGTATCCTAAACTGTATAATAGATCATTTTTAGAGAAATATTTTGTTATCATTGGGTATTACTCATCTATTATATTAATAATGAAGTGCTGTTCTGAATTATTTCATATGTTAAATTTTAATTTATAAAAATAGAGCCAATCTTGTATCTAAGAATATAAGTGTTAATGTCTAATCTGGTGCTATAGAACAGAAAATAAGCGCATAGTCACTAAATTCCCAAGTAATATGTTACATTTTGGGATGTTGGTCTTTATTTTTATCTAAATGTGGCGCTATTATCATGATAAGGAAAAGTAGTTTTTTTTTTTCTTTTTTGTTGAATGTTAACTATGTACATTAATACACTTCTGGGGTACAGTGTGGTGTTTTCACACACAATCCAAAACACTTCCATCAAACTGCTTAACATAGCCTTCATGTCATTTTCTTGGTTATTGTGTTAAAATGTTCATATTGTACTCTTAGAAAGATTCACTTGTACCCTTGTAAGATAAACCACAGAAGTGATCCCTCCAATCCCCCTCCCTCCACCCATTCCTCCCTACCCTCTCCTTCCCCCCTCCCTG